TAGACCTTCTCCCATTGATTTTCTATCCAGGATTCTGCCTTTAACATCAATCAATTTAGCATCTAACACATTATCTGCTGCAAGGCCAAATTTACGCGAGATCATGCCGAACCCCCTCCGCTAATATGACCACCAAGCCCCAAAGTTGTGCAAATTCCTGCAGGGAAGGCTAGAGTCTTACTTTTCGCGGCGATACTGTGGTACAATTCACCTGTAGTTGCACCAGCCTGAACCCAAGCAGTTTTGTTCACTGGATCAATATCAATTGCTCGAAGATTAATCAGATCAAGAATGACAAATGGGACTTCAGAAACATAAGAAAGACCTTCATAATCATGTCCACCACTACGGATTCTAAGTTGCAAGTTGTGTTTTTGGGAACAATTAATGGCAGCCTGGATGTGGGATTCATTTGTTGCTGTAACAATGACTCGAGGTTTCGGCGTAGAAGTTAAATTGAATCTGGGATTTCTTACAGAGAACTGCAAGACAGAAGCGTAAGAGGAGCTTTCTGGGCTGAAAGTGATGTTAGAAATGGCTGGGGACTTTCGGAAATGAAGGGAAAAACATTGAAGAAAATCATCATGAGCATCAGCTGAAGCTTCCCATGAGAATGAAAAGAGAAGAAAAATGAGAAATGGCAGCACGGAAGATTTTAACCAAATCATCTTGCCTATGAAAAGTATTTGTTTTTGTGTATAGAGATTTGCGAAAGACTTAATTTATACTATCGAGGAATTTGAAGAAGGCTGACCAAATATGGTAAACGTGACATTGCAAAATCCATCTTTGTCGATTTGGTCTTCACATGCATAAGGAGAAATTTAATGGTATTCAGAAAAAGAAAGACAAATACGAATGATAAATTTTTTTAGAAAAAAAAATAGAGTTTGAAAATATTTTATCATTTTTAGTATCATAATCATCGTTAGATTATTTTATATGAGATCACGTTTATCTTGCAAAAAATCTGAGGAAACTGAATAGTTTTAAACTTAAGATGAGGAGCCAGCCTCATAAAGTCATAATATATTAACAAAATTTCTTGGGAATGTTTATGTAGAGTCTATATGGCATAAAAGACCTTGTGTTGGTAAATAAAATAAAATAAAATAAATTCTCTTATTTTGATTTTTTTAAAAAAAAAATTAGAAAAATCTTAGTTTGGGAAAAAAAAAAAAAAAAAAACCTCACGTGCAAGAAAAAGTTACAGTTAATGTAGAAAGTAAGCATATATAACAATACTAGATGAAAGGAAATAATTAAAGAGATAAGATATATTAGGAAGTAATTAAAAAATAGATATTATTACCTTTTGATTTATTATTATTATAAATACAATATTGAAATGAAAATAATACTAAATTTCATTCTTCCAGATGAAAATCACACTTAAAAAGTTGAACATCATACCCATCCTCCCCCACCTTTCCATTCCCAGCATCCACGTATCATACAGCTTATTGGCTAATGAATTTGGTTTTTACCATGGAATTCTTTGTCCTTTGATATCTATCTTCCCCTTTGACAGCAATTGTTGGACCTGAATGTGCCAAGTAATGCAATATTGATCGGAATGTGCCTAGCTGATTCAACAGCGCGCTAGAATTAAACTACAGACTACGACAAGACCTGCTAACGGTTTGTGACCACCAGCAATGACAACGACAACAAAATCAATATTAAGGGTTCTTGATTGTCTCTCTTGGAATCCTGATCACCTTGGTCCATTCAAAGACTAATTCTGAAGATGGTATGCACACCCCATTTCTCCATGCAATGAAATTTTAATTCATTTTACTTTACATTTTGTTTTGATTCTCATGGTAATTGTTTCATGAGGTAATGGTGTTTAGGAATGTATGTGTATATATGTAGGGAATAATATTATATTAATTTGAATTTTTATAAAATATTAAATAGGATGTGAATATAGAAAGAATTCACAATCATCCGGTTAGGATGGATCTAAACTAGGCCATTATGCATATGATTCAACATTCCAATTGTCAAACAACTTATTAGAAACACAAGATTGCCAATAAAAAATGTCACCAAATCCCCTGTTCTGAGGGATATGTACTAGGGTGTATGTACAATTTGTTCAGATTTCAGATTGTGGGTTGGGACAAAAGAAAAGAAAAACTTTTCCACTATCTTTGTGATCAGCACCGATGAATAGGATAGAATGGAAGACTCCCCTTCACTACAGCAAATTCAAGGGTGGTCTATGATCTATGACATAAGCTAGTCTCTTTAAATGCAAATAACTTTTGGTGGGGTGTTCTTAGTTTTTATAGATTGGATCTATCAAGGCATATTTGCAACTATTTGGTCATGCATGTGTAGACAAACGCATTCAAGAAGAAAATAACTATGCTGAAAAGTTCATTTCAATGTTTTACAATGGATAATAACTGAGGATGGTATTAAAACCCAGAACCCTTCTTTTGTGATCATAATTTTCTCGAGAATCTATGTATTTGGATAATAAGTTACATTCTAAAGTTTGATTTACTAGGCACATTCAGATCAATATTGTTCTCTTACTAGGCACATTCAGCATCCACGTATCTATCTTCCCCTGTTTGGTTCACATTTGCAGTAATGCAACTTACTGGCTGATTCAACAGCGCGCTAGAATTAAACTACAGACTACGACAAGACCTGCTAACGGTTTGTGACGACCAGCAATGACAACGAGAACAAAAATGATTAATTAATTAATTTATTTTTTAGTAAAGTCAGGAGATTAAGCTTTTGAAGAGACTATATGTAATACCCAAAAATTAATTTTACATGATAATATATTATGTGTATATGTGTATAAATGTGCTTTATTTGTTTATATATTCAATTTAATATTTTTTTATTTTTAGAGGAAGGGATGATTAGATATGAAATTTTAGGATATAATGTATATTTTTGGGTATTATAGATTGTATTGTTATAGATAGGAACTAGTCCTACAATCTTAGCCTAAGCTATTAGAAATTAAAGAATTAAAATAATAATAATAATAATTAATAAAATAGTAATGAAATAATAATAAGTTTTAATAGTTTTTTAAATAAAATCTTAGTGGCTATGAGAAAAGAACAAAAGTTTTGAAACATATATTAAATTAAAAAGGAGATATGAATTAAAGAAAAGAAAGTGGCTATAAAAGAAGAAGGTTAGTGGCCATGAAAAAAATAAAAAAAAGAGCCATGAAAGAAAGCCACCTAGTGGCTATTAAAGAAAAAAGTTAATGGTCTTTTATTATTTTTAATTCATGCACTTAAAATTCTTAAATGTTTTGGCTCCCCATGCTTATATATAGGGTGTCATTTTTCTCATTTTAGGAAAGTCATTTCATAAGTTTGTACTTGAGAGAGAGAGAGAGAGAGAGAATATAATTGATTAAGAAGTGAAGTCAAAGGTATTTAAAAAAATTCAAGGTGATTGAATATTCAAGGTAAGAAAAATATTTAATTTAATTATTTGTTTTTATATGATTTTAGATAGAATTGAGTTGGAAATTTCATAATTTAGGATTGATTATGTGAAAATTATATTTTTAATATTAAAATCTTAAATTTTTAGAGAATTTTTTATGATATAAGTGTATTTAAATAAGAATTGAAAAGGTTAAGTTACAATTTAATGATACTAGATTATATGAATATAATTAAAGGAGAATTGAATAAATTAGAGTAGAGTTGATGATGTAATTAGGATTTTTTTTTAATTTAAAAGAAATTACAAGAAAATAATAGGAATTAATAAAAATAAATAAATGATTAGAGATAAAACAATAATATTCGATTTCTTATATTATATGGTATGTATGTTCAAGGTATTGAATCAAGTAGATATATCGATTTTTAAATAAAGATTACAATAAATAGTGGCCTAGAGCGAATCAAGTAAGTGTAACTCACTTATACCATGCACATAAATGCTATGTATTTTTATGTAATTGATATGATGTGATGGTCTTGAGGTGCATTCATATGCATGCATATGTTTTACATATTGATTGAAAGAAAATATTTTAAATAAACGAATGAGATCATTTTTTTAATGCATAGTGAGGTTTAAAGGTTGAGATTGCCCATCGAGGCATAAATGTTGAGGTTTGATTGTTAAAAGTTGAGGTTAATGTTTTTATACATGTTTTTATTGAGGCTAGACCTTGCTAACCGATATTGGTATCTTTTAGTAGGCCCAAATAAGGAAAAGAATTTTGAAGACATTCATGTACAAAAAGTTTTAATGTAAAATCATGTATGTTACACTTATTGAGATATTTGTATCTCACATCCGTTATGTGGTGTAGGTAATGATGCAAATATTGAGGATGTTGATGCTGTTCCCAATGACCTATGTGCCTGTGCGCCTTTGTGTGTTCATAACGATTAGGTTATGCTTTAAATGAATATTTATTTTTAAAATAATAAATGCAATTATGTTAATCTTATGAAAGTTGAAAATTTTTACTTAGAATTTGAGTCTGAATATTAGAACAAGATTATTTAGGAATGTGAATTACGGTGAGATATTTTTATAAATGATGAAATTTTAGAATAATGCTTCGCTATGTTAATAAGAAAAATCTTATAGTTATATATTATTAATGACATATTTTAAATTGATATATTTAAATATAAATAAGATTAAATTCGAAACTTAATTTTAAAAAATTAAAAGGATATAAGTTTTAGTATCGATCCGTTCGATCGTGACCCTTTAGGGGAGGTGTTTCGGTTGACGAGCATTGCAATATAATACCTCTATTTTATTTTGTACTTCATTAGGTTAACTACCATTTCCTTCTAGTGTGTGTTTTGGAGGGGTTAGGTTTGTATAGTCAATAAAGCCTGTCAATCTTTGCCTATTGTTGCTGCTCGTCGATGCAATCATAAGCCTCAGTGGTTTGACATCACCTGCGTATAACAGGTTGTTAGGATTTATTTCCGAGGAAAACATCATCAAAATAATGTCTGATTCTGCTATGCTCACTCAGATATGCAGCCACCAAGGTAACAATTTGCAGAGGTTAGGCAAAGTAAACCCTTAATCTTTCTCACCTTCCGCAAGCCATCACTCCCCAAAATTATGAATTCAGCCACTACTCCATCCAAAATCTCATTATCAGTAACCTTACATCTTGCCCTCTTGATTGCACGTTTCGGATTTGCCTGGTAATCAGGCTGAAAATGTGAGTGCAGAAAATAAGAATTTCCCGCTTGAAAAATTCTTATACACCAAAAATATAAAGTGAAGTCAGCTTCAAGCCTTCAATGTTCCTACCTCACTCAAGATGTTATCAAACAGATGTGATTGCAAATATTCTGCAGCTTCACGACCGGAGTGACCATCGAAAATCGCATAAAGCCCTATCTCATGTCAATTGATTTTTCTGTTTTGTGCTACTGCATAATCTTCCATTCCATGGCCCATTTTTCCTCTGATCATATGGTATCCATGGGCGACATTTCGACTCGAAGACTCCTCCTCTCCTTCCTCATTTTCATCTTCGCTGGAAGAGTCATATCCACTTTCCTCCTTGAATCACAGGTAAATAGCATAAATGGTCAAATGATAACAACAGAAAATACATGACTTTCTTAACCAAATTTTTTCACAGGATATAAATAGCGATTTACTTCGTTTGCTTCCGGAATTTATTTATAAAGTTCATCTTCTCGACTATAATCTGCATTCTACAGTGGAAAATTCTCCCAGACAAAATGCATAATTTGAATTTCAAGAATCTAACTCCTTAACAGGTGAATTACAGGACAAGGTAACAAGAGCTAACAAAGGAGAACAGGAAGACCAGAGTTAAAGTACAGGATTATACATGCATACCTTCCTTGTGAACGAATCCACATCTCTTGATCGATTCGATCTCTTCTTCTGAAGAACAAAACAAGGCATTCTCATAAAATGAAGGGCAATTTATGGAGAGAAAAACAAGCAATCCAGAATATGTTGCACCCTGCAGCAAGAAATTTCAAGTAGAAGAGTTTGTACCCATTTTATCATTAAAAACCTGACAATTACTTCAACTTCATGACTACAGAAACATGGATATATATATATATATATATATATATATATATATAACATCTAAATTAGTTGTTCTTGTTCAAAAATATCCTTAAACCTAGGGTTCAAAAATAATCCATCCAAACCAACAACATATGGTCCATACATACATACCAAAATTTAGCCAGGAAAAGAATATACAATAGGAACATACATACCTTTGGCATGAGTGAATTCACATCCATACTCTTCAAAGCTGATTCCCTTCTCTTCAAGGATGCAGTGTACCAATAATCATTCAGTATAATTTGAATAGCCAAAAACATTTATGAGAACTCGATTCATAAGTAATGTGTTTAACATGATCAGCTAGCCCTTCCTAAATGTTAGGTGCTATTAGGCACTCTTAACCCTTTATTTAGTTCAAGAAGTGCGATTTTCTGCTCACACTTATAACCAAATACTCAGTCCTTTTTATAATGTAATAACCCAATATCTCCACCTTCACGCATTGGATCCAAAGTTAGCCACTTCTCATGAATTTGTGTGGCTTTGCCACACGAAAAATTGTTTAACCTAAACTTTGATATCAATATTGGATTCTGTTGGACAATCTCAACTCCAAAAACTAGCTCAAAATTAAGGTTTTTTCCCTCACATTTATGACCATGAACCTAACTTTTTTTTTAGAACTATTGTGGGATAACTCAACACTAGATGACAAAGCAAAGAGCAATACGTTGAAAAGGCAAAAGCAAGCTACTTTATTTTAAGAGATTCATTGAACTAAAGAATCTGGTACGTTATTAAAAATTGTCTAAAAGCATTCTTAATATTAAAGTCTCACAAACTATATAAAGATATACGACAATTCAAGAATCCATTAAAATCATAAAAATATAAGTTACAATTTATAAAATCTATGAAATTAGATACGATATTAAATTTACCAATTAAATTTACTTATTAATAATACAAGAAATATTGTATGAGTTACAAGGGTCAAAATTAAAAACAATATAAGGATGAATAAAAAATTAAACACATAGAACTAGGGTCATAAATAAAATAAAAAATATTTGGAGGAGTCTAATTGAAACAACTTTTCATTATAGGGGCCAAATTTAAATTCTTAAAAATTTGATGGGATCAAGGTTTTCTCACCACCCTAGTGGCGGCTTTGATTTTAAATACAGTTCTACATTGTTTAGGTAAATATTGATAATGTTATGGTCTCCAATAGTCTCCAAACTTAGAAGTAAGGTTGGACATAAAAAAAATAAAATTTGATAATGTATATAAAATTCAATGCCTTTTTTTTCCCGTTATTTGCACATATTTCACAAAACTCAATACGTTAATTTTGATTCTTATTATTTTTTTTAAGAGAAAGAACATAATTATCTTACTTTCATGTGTTTTTCCACAAATTCAACAAAGGTCAATATTTTGATAAAAAAAATAAAGAAGACAAAAAAAAAAATCGATGGTATATATAGCATTCCTGTTCTTTTTTTCTTTTTTAAACTACTTTATTTAGGGAGATTAGTTGAACTAAAAATCTGATATATTACCTAAAATTATCCGAAAGCGTTCTTGATATTAAAGTTTCACAAACTATATAAAAAATACACAATTCAAGAATCCATTAAAATCATTAAAAATATAAGTTATAATTTATAAAATCTATGAAATTAGATACGATATTAAATTTAATAATTAAAATAAATCTGAATAGATATATGAGAATATAAAATTATAGTAAATAGTCAATAGTCTCTCAATAAGTTAAATTAGTTTATAACTAAATAATAATGAAACTTATTATAACAATGGTAATTAGACCATGCAAGGAATTGTTGTGGTTTAGTTTTGCTGTTTTTAGAAAGGTTGTTGTTTAGTTTATCTTTTTATTTATATTCTAAATTGTTACTATAGTCACTTTCTTGCTAGCTTTTTTATTTTTTATATATTGATCAACTTTTATTAAAAAAAAACAAAAGACCATGCAAGGAATTGTTGAGATGAATTCCAAAAAATTAACACAAAATTCAATACTTCATTATGTTTCTTATTGTTTGAAGAAAAGAACATAATCATTGCAATTTCATGCATTTTTTCACAAATTCAACCAAGGTCAATAGTTTTGATTTGAAAAAAAAAAAACTAAAATTGATATATATATTGCATTATCCATGTCTTTTTTCTTTTTTAAAACTATTTCAGTGAGATTGATTGACATAGAGAATGAGATACAATCCTAAAATTGTTCTTTACATTAATGTACTAATGGATTGTTAGTCAGTATAGAAATTGCTTAAATTTTCTTTCGTTTTCTAATAACTTGATTATTTGTTCTTTTAGGCTGTCTCCTTTTCAAACTTATATGCACCTGAGCCTTAGAGCATTTGATCATTAATGTAAAAGAAGCAGAAAAGTGGGAGAGCTTTATTGAGAATGCAGGTATGGTCTTTCAATGCCATCTTGCTATTGCATCTACTCTAGTATTCTCTTCAGCTTTGTTGCCATCTTCGTCCACGTTGTTACTGTCACTTTTTATGCCACTCTATTTCTAGCTTTTTAAGCAAGTGAATGTCCCCAACTGTTCTAAAAGAGAATAAATATCAAGACTTAGCCTCGGATGTTTTTCACTGCAGGTTCTGTGTTCTTGGGCCCGTGGACACCAGAGAGTGTTGGGGATTATGCAAGTGGGACAAACCACGGTCTTCCAACATATGGATATGCAAGGATGTATGGTGGGGTATCCTTGGACTCTTTCCGGAAATATATGACAGTGCAGTCCTTGACAGAGGAAGGTCTCCGAAAGCTTGGCCCTTATGTGGCAACCATGGCAGAAGTTGAAGGGCTGGACGCCCACAAGAGAGCTGTAACTCTTAGACTTCAGGATATTGAAGCCAGACAGGTTTCCAATACGAGATAGTGGATTGATTAGGCACCTTATCTTCTATGTAGAATTATGTTTCTTGACATGAGTTTGGTAACCCAATTGAGTTGACAAATTTTCAAATTGTTGTATCACATGAAGTTTTGGCTTGTAATGTAACTTTACCCTATTCAATCATAAATAAATCTCTCTTTTGGTTCATGTCCTTTAATAGAGCATAGAAATTGCATGGTACCATCTGACTGAGGTCTCAAAATGCTATTTCCTGTTGGATGGCATATGCAGATTCTAGTTGGTGGAATGGCAGGGAATGGACTGCCCTCTATAGGTTGGACGGTTGTCTCCTATCCGATCAACTCATCTACCTCATTAGTGATAGAAAAAAAAAAAAAAAAAAAAAGAAGGAAGTTTATGCCTCATAAAGCAGGTTATTTATAAAGTTCATCTTAACCAAATCTTTTCACCGGAAATTAATAGGTATGTGCTTCATTTGCTTCCGGAATTTATTTATAAAGTTCATCTTCTCGACTATAATCTGCATTCTACAGTGGAAAATTCTCCCAGACAAAATGCATAATTTGAATTTCAAGAATCTAACTCATTAACAGGTGAATTACAGAACAAGGTAACAAGAGCTAACAAAGGAGAACAGGAAGACCAGAGTTAAAGGACAGGATTATACATGCATACCTTCCTTGTGAACGAATCCACATCTCTTGATCGATTCGATCTCTTCTTCTGACGAACACAACAAGGCATTCTCATAAAATGAAGGGAAATTTATGGAGCAAAAACAAGCAATTCTGATACTTGTAAGCTAAGATATAAAGACTCTTTGAGCCGTGTATTGAGGTAAATGTATCTGAGTACATATCTTCAACTCATGCAATAACTTTTCTTGATTTCCAGAATATGTTGTACCCTGCAGGAAGAAACTTCAAGTAGAAGAATTTGTACCCATTTTATCATTAAAAAACTGACAATTATTTCAACTTCATGACTACAGAAACATGGATATTTACATTTTATTTTTCTATATATATATATAACATTTAAATTAGTTGTTCAAGTTCAAAAATATCCTTAAACCTAGGGCTTGAGGACACTAACACAATTACAGTTTCATTCTACAATAATCCATCCAAACCAACAACATATGGTCCATACACACATATCTAAATATAGCCAGGAAAAGAATATACAATAGGAACATACATAACTTTGAAATGAGTGAATTCACATCCATATTCTTCAAAGCTGATTCCCTTCTATTCAAGGATGCAGTGCACCAATAATCATTCAGTAGAATTTGAATAGCAAAAAACATTTATTAGAACTCAAGATTCATAAGTAATGTGTTTAACATTATCAGCTAGCCCTTCCTAAATCACGACCATTATTTAGCTTAAGAAGTGAGGTTTTCTCCTCATACTTATAAGTATAGTTTTAAATAACAACCGTTACAGTATATAATAGTTGTTATTTAACGATTTTGAGACATCCCGTTATTATTATTTTAGTTTTATAGTAAATCGTGATCTGCAAGTAGCGACTATCATATATGATTTAAAACTATGCTTATGACCAAATACTCAGTCCTTTTCATAATGGAATAACCCAATATCTCCTCCTTTATGTATTGGATCAAACGTTAGCTACTTTTCATGAACTTGTGTGGTGTTGGCACACGAAAAATTTTTTAACCTAAACTTTGGTACCAGTATTGGATTCTATTGGACAATCTCAACTCCAAAAATTAGATCAAAAAATGAGGTTTTTTTCCCCTCACACTTATTACCATGAACCTAACTCTTTTTAGAACCGTTGTGGGATAACTCAACACTAGATGAAAATGCAAAGAACAATAGGCTGAAAAGGCAAAATCAAGCTGCTTGATAACTGCATATGACTCTCAACTATTACCGACATTCCTAATGAGTGCAATGGGACCTGCACTCTAGCTAGGTCTCCATGAATGATTAGTGCTAATACCATATGCTATATGCCATCAAAGATATGCAAATGCAAACACTTATAAGATAACAAGCTGAATGGTATATCTTCATGGTGTTCTTGCTTGACCTTCTCCTTCACATTCGACTGTTAAAGAGTAGGCGTTAATTGAAGTAGGCACAACATGGTGATCTATTTATACAGGCTTAAGTAGCCCTATGCCTCTACAGCATGCAGTCACAAAATGTAGGAATAGGATACAAGTGTACAGTTTTGGTATGCTAATTTGCGTCTATTGTGGGACACGTTATTTACATTACTCATCATAGACATGCCAAGAGGCAGCTTTTGTCTTGTCTTATCCATTAAGTAACTATGTCACAGGTCCATTACTGCACCCATTAAAAAGAAAAATCACACATTACTTCTCAAAAGAAAAGGGGCAATTGAACCTTAAGCCAAATTAGTCAATTGGATTTGACTGATTGATTCTCTATATATCGTTTAATTAGATTGCGATTCTCAAAATTTTGGTAATTGGATTCATCCATAAAAGAGACCTGTAAATTGAAGTCACATCAGGTGGCTAGCTAATAAAGAAAGTAGATTAGGCAGAACAAACATGAATTTAAGGCAGAAAATGAATGATTTGATACACGCATGAATATATATCTCAATAACGAAACGCCTTTGAATCCTCACAATACAAATTGACTGCAAGCATCATACAGTAAAGCACAAGTGCATCCACACACAAAGACAAGTATAAGACTAATGAATCAGTTACAAGGGAATTAATTAATGGCCAAACCAATTGTCTCTCTTGGTCCACCATTTTCCCTTCCTTGTCTAGAACTTTGATTGCAGGGATTTGACTACATTCTTGTCCAACTGGAAAGCCTTTGCAAGAATGTCAACAGGAATCTCTGCGCTAGAACCAAACACAGCATTTGCAATGGTGATCACACCTGGATTCTGGCTGCTCAAGGCTGCAATGGCAACAACATTACCGTTTCCCACATTTCTTTGGTAATGAACAAGACCAATAGGAAACACAAACACATCACCCTTTTGTAGAATTTTTGTGATGAGACGGTTTTCAGGGTTAGATGTAACAAATCCAACTTCAAGACAACCTTCAAGGACTGTCAAGATTTCGGTGGCACGAGGGTGTGTGTGTGGAGGGTTGATACCCCATGGTGCATAGTCAATGCGAACAAGAGAAATTCCAAGAGTGTTAAGTCCTGGTATTTGGGCCACATTAACTGTGGTTACCCTAGACCCTACTGCATTTGATGTGTTGCCTGCCAAGTGAAGTCCACTGAAAGAGAAGTGACTCAGCTTGAACCTTCTTGGGATCCTTGCAAGCCAAACCATTGACAAGAACTGCCATAAAATAGTGAAAATGTATCGTTAAAGAAACTAATACTAAGACAACATAATCACTAAAATCAAGTGATGTAAAAATATATAGATAGGATAATATCTTCAACAGATTTACATATACCATTGCTATCTCCATCGGCCACACAGAAATCTTGAAGTGGGCTTGGATCCGATGCTAGGGCAAAGGAGAAGGACAAAGCCAGGAATCCAAAGAAAAGAATGGGAGCAGCCATTTTCCAAGTCCAAAGTAGAGAAGCTCTTTGAAACAAATTAATATTGCTTGGATACCAAGAATCTATTAATCTAGTTTTCAGTTGTGAAGCAAATATGCTTCATACTTCCTTTATATATACATTTGAAAGGTAGAGGAGATAGTTAATTAATCTAATCAAGTGAATCAAGCTGTAAACCAGCTGCATCCATGCCGTCCGGTTGAAAGAGTCTTCCTATACAGTCCTTTTTCTTTTCCTTTCCTGTCCAAATCCATGTCAATTATAAGAAGCAAACACCCAGGCTAGCTATATGTCTAATTGATATTCTGCTGACCTTTTGGTAAATGCCGTCCGTAATATATTTACTTAGCTTTGATTTGGCCATGCATGAGGACCATTTCAGGATTAACATTTCGTATGGGCTGCCTATATGAACGAACTTTATCTACAGTACTTGACATTAGCTAGTATTTTAATTAAAAAAATTTAATAACAATCTTGGTAATGTAATTTTTGTTTCTTAATTGTGAACTTTTAATTAGCTGGATTTTACTGTAAACCTTCCTTACAAAAATATTTATTAGAAGTAGAATAATTTTCACTTTTGTTGAATTATTTTCACGTTCATAAGTAAATTCCTTGTGCTGAGCTTGTTTGCCTTGTTGAGTATACTCACCCAAGAGGGGCTAAACCCAGTGTTTCTGTGAACTAATTTGATCTATTTTTAGTCTTTTTCAAATAGGATTATTCACATCATTCTTGGAACTTATTCTTGTCAAATTTTTTTCTTGAAAAATAGCATTACTATACAATTTATTAAAATATATTATAAAATATGCACATGCACAATCTAAGAAATCTCTAGTTTGAACATCTTCTTTTTAACAAATTTTTATTTTTATATTTTGAGGATGAGATCAGAAATCTCTAATACAGATACAATGAAAAGGCATAAAATCTGATTTCTTGTACATTTATTTTCCAAAAAGAGAAGCTACAGGAAATCAAGATTCTAATAACCTACTAAACTAGCCATAAAAGGCTTGATACCTAACATACTTAAAACAAAAAAACAAAAAGCCATGAGCTTTAAAGAAAGGGTAAATCCTTGGATTTCATTTTCCTTCCACACCAATTCCCCAACCAAATCCCATCTCATCTAGAGATTCTCTGCTTTACTCAATAATCAGAGAGCTTGGCTTGCTTCAACAACTGAAAAACGAAAAGCAAATGGATAAGAACATGCAAGAAAATTGTGCAATTCAAAAATTGAAATGGAAGTGAGAACGAGAGAAATACCCCAACATAAACAGCTAGTTTTTGCTTGAAAGCTGCATGTCCTTCTTTCAATTTTTTTAGAGACGCCTTGGCACTAAAACATTAATTTATGCTAAATTAAATTACTACTATATTTTGCATGTAACATTAGCTACGGTACTTTTCAAAGACATAAAGTAATATAATTTTACCTTTTCAAGTCCCCTTTATGGCATAATTCTCTGAGTTTATTGGTTTCTTCATTGATTTTGGCTGCACCAATGCTAAAAGACATAAAATAGTGTTATCTACCCTTCTTTAAAGCGGGGGAAAAAAAAATCAGAAAATATTCCTACCTTGCACTACTGCCCTTAAGCCGATACATCATTCTTTCGAGGATGAAGGGATAATCATCAGGGGTTGTCTCCCTACGGAAAATATTGAATGTCAGGAAGGGGAAAAAAACCAAGAAACATGCAAGATTTCAATTAATTATTATTAAATCTACTTACAATGCCTTATCAATAGCAGCAATGTATCGAGATGAATCCCTCAAAAACAAGCTAAACACATCTTCAATGAAGTCAGGATCATCTTCATTTTCAAGAGTCTCAAGATAACTCACTTGTCCATGGTCCAGAAGTCCCTACAATAATCAACATGCAAGTCCAAAATGTTAGTGTATTCTTGGTACTTTGTGCACTTAAAAAAAATATAAGATACATAAATCACTTCGAAATTCTTCCTTAGAGAAAATGCTTCATTGCCCTTTCCATCACCAAGGATAATTGATGGCAAAAGTTGGCCAACACCCAAAATAAAAAAGAAGAAGAAGAAGACCTCATCAAAGAATGATTGCCTCATGAGGCTAAGTTGTTGGCGCAAGGGAGTGCTACCCATTCTGAATGTACTAAAGGGAGAAACAAACTGTTGCTTGAGTGGAGGCTATTTAGAAGAAATAAAAAATAAAAAGTGAAAGATTGTCTAGTAGAATGGCAATCCCAATTGGAGTATATAAATAGGCAAAAATTAAGCAAGAAACTAACATGTCACTAAACAGGCAACTATTATTGCTTCTACAATGATAGATTACACCATTTAAATACGAAAAATAGAAATTTGTGGTTGGTGTTAATTTGGCTTAATAGACAGTTCAGTGGTTAACCAAAGTTTAAGTGTGTTTGATATTGGTTTAGATATAAAAAAGAAATAATAGAATTAGTTTTGATTGATACAAAAATTCATCTAAGAATATTCTACTATTGGTAAGTATTAAAAAAAAGAAAAATACAAGTCTGTAGTTGGTAGTAATCACATATATACCATAAATAGCTATCTGCAAAATAGCTAATGAGAAAATCTATGAACTTGAGAATCCTAAAGATCATGTTGAGATTTAAAAATAAAAAAGAAAAGAAATTAGAAAATAAATGAAAATTGTGTGTAACTCATATGTTAAAATCGAAGTGAGAGTGGGAGACTTACCGGATAAAGCATATACCTCTTTTTGAACGTAAACAACAAGTTTTTGCTTGAAATTGCAATGTTCTACTTTTAGTTTTTGGAGAGACGCCTTGACACTATAACATTTATGTAAAAATTATTACAATATTTTACATGACACATTAGCTAAGGTACTCTTTAAAAGACATAAATTAATAGAAATTTCACCTTTTTAAATTCCCTTCATGGAAAATTCTCTGAGTTATGTTAAAAAAAATTGTTATGCTCATGAAATCCGCAAATGATGTTAATTTGGTTATACATGTTCTACTTTTAAAAAATCATTATCACACCAACAAATTGTTGGCCGCTTCATGATAAACGAGTTGATCCCTAAATAAGTTTTTTTACTAATATGCAGAATTTGAATCTTTAAGTCACATTTAATGAGAGGAATTAAATCTTATCATTTTCGTTTCGAAAAAAATTAATCATAGCTCCAATATAAAATAAAGATATCTAAGAAAAACTAATATATATCATCACCATCTTTGTCAATAACATCAAATGTAAAGAAAGAAAAACCGAAGAAACATGCAGAATTTTAATTATTTCATACTATAAAGGTCTATTTACAAAGCCTTCTCAATAGAAGCAATGTATCTAGAAGAATCTTTTAAAAACAAGGTAAACACAAACTTATATAGAGGCACACAACAATTCAAGAATCCAACTTTAAAAATATAAGTTACGTATTCAAAAAATTTACAAATCAGATATGGTCTTAAATTTACTAATTAAATTGAATCTAAACAGGCCTCTGGAAATCTAAGAACATAATAAATAATCAATAGTTAAATTAGCTTTTAGCTAAGAAATAGTACAACGAATTATAACAGTAGCATTGCACCATGCAAGGAATTCACGAGTTGAATCCTAAAAATTTGCACAAAATAGTTGGTTTTGAACATACCTTGATCACCTTAAGCTATTTCAAATGTAGTTAGAGAATAATATTGTATGGGTTACAGGGGCAATAATAATAATAATAAAATGCAAGGAAGAAGATAAAATTAAACATATAGAAATAGGTCGAAATTTTGGCAGGGGCCTAATTGAAACATTCCTTTCACTATGGAACCAAAATTAACTTTTTAAAATTTTTGGGGACTACAGTTCCTTCGCCACAACCTTTCATTGCAGTGGCGGATTTGAATTTAAATACCTTTCTACAATGACAGATGACGCCATTAACATATGGTTGGTGGTAATCACTCTATACCATAAATGGCTATCATGCAAAATAGCTGAAATTATTATTTTAATTATGGAGGTACTCCTGGTGCAATTTAACACTAACTACTTTAACTATGTTAAGAGTATATCATAATAAATAAATAAACTAATGGAAATTAGAACCATGATGTTTTAAATGCTTAAGGGCATAATGGAATGAAACAACATTTAAGTTGATCTATTGATAATGTATGTAAAATTCAATGCTTTCTTTTCCGTTGTTTGCACATATATATTTCACAAAATTCAATACGTTAATTATGGTTTCTAATTGTTTGAAGAAAAGAACATAATCATCGCAATTTCATGGTTTTTTTTTTATCACAAATTCAACAAAGGTCAATATTTTGATGGAAAAAAAAACTAAAAATGATATATGTTACATTATCAATGTCTTTTTTCTTTTTTAAAACTATTTCCTAAAATTGTTCGTAAGGATTCTTAACATTAAAGTCCCACAAACTTATAGAAAGACACATGACAATTTAAAAATTCTTAAGGACTATAAAAATATAAGTTATTGTTCAAAAAATCTACAAGTTAGATACATTCTTAATTTTATTAACCAATATAAATCTAAAGAGATATTTTGAAATCTAAGAGTATAATAGTAAATAATCAATACCCTTTCAATCAAGTAAATTAGATTTTAGCTAAACAATAGTGCAACTAACTATAACAACAACATTTAGACCATAATCATCTCACTTTCATGAAATTTCTGCAAATTCATCAAAGGTCAATATTTTGATAAAAAAATAAAGACGAAGAAAACAAAAAATAAGGATAGTATATATTGCATTACCAATGTCCTTTTCTTTTCTTTAAACTACTTTATTTAGTGAGATTGATTTACCTAAAGAATATGATACATCATTACAATTGTATGTAAGCATTTTGATATTAAAGTCTCACAAACTATATAGACGTACATGACAATTCAAAAATCCACTAAAATCACTAAAATATAAGTTATAGTTTATAGAATCTATAAAATCAGATACAACATTAAATTTAGCAATTAAAATCATTATGAACATATATCTTAAATTGCTTTTGAGTATATCTTGTTCATCATAAACTATTTCAAATCTAATAACACAAGAAATATTGTATGAGTTACAAGGGTCAAAATTAAAACAATATAAGAATGAATAAAAAATTAAACAAATAGAACTAAGGTCATAAATAGAATAAATTTTTTTTGGAGGAGCCTAAATGATACCAATTTTTTCATTATAATGGCCAAATTTAACTTTTAAAAAATTTGATGGGACCAAGGTTCTCTCACCACAAGCCCTGGTGGCGGCTTTGAATTTAAGTACAGTTCTACATTTTTAGGTAAATATTGATAATATTATGGTCTCCGAATTAACTTCGAAGGAAGGTTGGACATAAAAAAAATAATAATAATAAAAAAAAAATAAAATTGATAATGGATATAAAATTCAATGCCTTCTTTTCCCATTACTTGCACATATTTCACAAAATTCAATACGTTAGTTTTGTTTCTTATTATTTTTTTTTAAGAGAAAGCACATAATCATCTCACTTTCAAGTATTTTTCCACAAATTCAACAAAGGTCAATATTTTGATAAAAAGAAAAAAGAAAACAAAAAACACGTATGGATAGTATATATTGCATTACTAGTCTCTCTTTTTTTTTTTTCTTTTTTTAAACTACTTTATTTAAGGAGCTTGATTGAACTAAAGAATCTGATACATTACTAAAAATTGTTTCGAAGCATTCTTCGATATTAAAGTCTCACAACTATATATAGGTACACGACAATTCAAAAATCCATTAAAATTATAAAATATATAAGTTACAATTTATAAAATCTATGAAATTGGATACGATATTAATTTTACTAATTAAAATAAATTTACTAATTAATAATACAAGAAATATTCTATGAGTTACAAGGGTCAAAATTAAAACAATATAAGGATGAAGAAAAAATCAAACACATACAACTAGGATCATAATAAAATAAAATAAAATTTGGAGGAGACATAATAGAAACAACTTTTCATTATAGGGACCAAATTTAACTTTTTTAAAAATTTGATGGGACCAAGGTTCTCTCACTACAAGCCCTAATGACGGTTTTGAATTTAAATACAGTTCTACATTTTTAGGTAAATATTGATAATGTTATGGTCTCCAATAGTCTCCAAACTTAGAAGTAAGGTTGGATATAAAAAAAAAAAAAAATTGATAATGTATATAAAATTCAATGCCTTCTTTTTCCGTTATTTGCACATGTTTCACAAAATTCAATACGTTAATTTTGTTTCTTATTAAGTTGTTTTAAGAGAAAGCACATTATAATCTCACTTTCATGTATTTTTCCACAAATTCAACAAAGGTCAAATTTGATATAGAAAAAAAGAAGATAAAAGAAAAAAACTATCGATAGTATATATTGCATTACCGATCTTTTTTTCTTTTTTAAACTACATTATTTAGGTAGATTGGTTGAACTAAAGAATCTGATACATTACTAAAAATTGTTTGAAAGCATTTCGATATTAAAGTTTCACAAACTATATAAAGATACATGATAATTCAAGAATCCATTCAAATCATAAAAACATAAGTTATAATTTATAAAATCTATGAAATCGGATACGATATTAATTTTACTAATTAATAATACAAGAAATATTGTATGAGTTACAAGGGTCAAAATTAAAACATTATGAGGATGAAGAAAAAATTAAACACATAGAACTAGGGTCATAATAAAATAAAATAAAATTTGGAGTAGCTTAATTGAAACAACTTTTCATTATAGGGGTCGAAATTTAACTTTTTAAAAATTTGATGGGACCAAGGTTCTCTCACTACAAGCCCTAGTGGCGGCTTTGAATTTAAGTACAGTTCTACATTTTTAGGTAAATATAGATAATGTTATGGTCTCCAATAGTCTCCAAACTTAGAAGTAAGGTTGGACATAAAAAAACAAAATTTGATAATGCATATAAAATTCAATGCCTTCCTTTTTCCGTTATTTGCACATATTTCACAAAATTCAATACGTTAATTTTGTTTCTTATTATTATTTTTTTTTAAGAGAAAGAACATAATCATCTCACTTTCATGTATTTTTCCACAAATTCAACAAAGGTCAATATTTTGATTAAAAAAAGACAAAAACAAACTATCAATCGTATATATTGCATTACCGGTCTTTTCTTCTTTTTTAAACTACTTTATTTAGGGAGATTGGTTGAACTAATAAATCTGATACTTACTAAAAATTATCCGAAAGCGTTTCTAATATTAAAGTCCCACAAACTATATAAAGGTACACGACAATTCAAGAATCCATTAAAATCTTAAAAATATATGTTACAATTTATAAAATCTATGAAATTGGATATGATATTAAATTTACTAATTAATAATACAAGAAATATTCTATGAGTTACAAGGGTCAAAATTAAAACAATATAAGGATGAAGAAAAAATTAAACACATAGAACTAGGGTCATAAATAAAATAAAAAAATTGGAGGAGCATAATTGAAACAACTTTTCATTATAGGGGCCAAATTTAACTTTTTTTAAAAATTTGATGGGACCAAGGTTCTCTCACCACAAGCCCTAACGGCGGCTTTGAATTTAAATACAGTTCTACATTTTTAGGTAAATATTGATAATGTTATGGTCTCCAGTAGTCTCCAAACTTAGAAGGTTGGACATAAAAAAATAAAATTTGATAATGTATATAAAATTCAATGCCTTCTTTTTCCGTTATTTGCACATATTTCACAAAATTCAATACGTTAATTTTTTTTTCTTTATTATTATTTTTTTAAGAGAAATAACATAATCATCTCACTTTCATGTATTTTTCCACAAATTCAGCAAAGGTCAATATTTTGATTAGAAAAAAAGAAACAAAAAATCTATGGATAGTATCTATTGCATTACCGGTTTTTTTCCTTTTCTTTTTAAAACTACTTTATTTTGGAAGATTGGTTGAACTAAAGAATCCGATACATTACTAAAAATTGTTAGGAAGCATTCCTAATATATATTAAAGTCTCACAAACTATATAAAGGTATATAACAATTCAAGAATCCATTAAAATCATAAAAATATATATTACAATTTATAAAATCTATGAAATTGGATATGATATTAAATTTACTAATTAAAATAAATTTACTAACTAATAATACAAGAAATATTGTATGAGTTATAAGGGTCAGAATTAAAACATTATAAGGATGAAGAAAAAATTAAACACATAGAACTAGGGTCATAAAAAATAAAAATAAAATTTTGAGGAGTCTAATTGAAACAACTTTTCATTATAGGGGCCAAATTTAACTTCTTAAAAATTTGATGGGACCAAGTTTCTCTCACCACAAGCCCTAGTGGCGGCTTTGAATTTAAATACAGCTCTACATTTTTAGGTAAATATTGATAATGTTATGGTCTCCAATAGTTCTCAAACTTAGAAGTAAGGTTGGACATTAAAAAAACAAAAATTGATAATGTATATAAAATTCAATGCCTTCTTTTTCCGTTATTTGCACATATTTCACAAAATTCAATACGTTTATTTTGTTTCCTATTATTATTATTATTATTATTGTTTGAGAAAGAACATAATCATCTCATTTTCATGTATTTTTCCCACAAATTCAACAAATTAAAGTCAATATTTTGATTAAAAAAAAGCAGAAAAAAAAACTACGGATAGTATATATTGCATTATGGGTCTTTTTTTCTTTTTTTAAACTACTTTATTTAGAGAGATTGGTTGAACTAAAGAATTTGATACGTTACTAAAAATTATCCGAAAGCATCCATTGATATTAAAGTCTCACAAAGCTATATCAAGGTACATGACAATTCAAGAATCCATTAAAATCATAACAATATAAGCTACGATTTATAAAATCTATGAAATTGGATACAATATTAAATTTACTAATTAAAATAAATCTGAACGAGATATCTCGGAATATAAAACTATAGTAAATAATCAATAGTCTCTCAATAAGTTAAATTAGTTTATAATTAAACAATAATGAAACTAATTATAACAATGGCAATTAGACCATGCAAGTAATTGTTGAGATGAATTCTAAAAAATTAACACAAAATTCAATATGTTAATTATGTTTCTTATTGTTTCAAGAAAAGAACATAATCATCGTAATTTCATGTATTCTTTCACAAATTCAACAAAGGTCAATATTTTGAAGGGAAAAAAAAACTATAAATGATATATATTACATTATAGTGTATTTTTTCTTTTTTAAAAATATTTCGGTGAGATTGATTGACATAGAGAATAAGATACATCCTAAAATTCTACGCAAGCATTCTTTACATTAAAGGCCCACAAACTTATATAGAGACACATGACAATTTATAAATCCATAAGGACTACAAAAATATAAGCTATTGTTCAAAAAATCTACAAGTTAGATACAATTTTAAATTTACTAACCAATATAAATCTAAACAAATATCTTAAAATCTAAGAGTATAGTAGTAAATAATCAATAGCCTTTCAATCAAGTAAACTAGATATTAACTAAACAATAATGCAACTAATTATAACAACAACATTTAGAGCATAATCATCCCACTTTCATGTATTTTCCGCAAATTCATAAAAGGTCAATATTTTGATAAAAAATAAAGACAAAGAAAACAAAAACTAAAGATAGTATATGTTGCATTACCAATGTCTTTTTCTTTTCTTTAAACTACTTTATTTAGGGAGATTGATTGACCTAACGAATCCGATATATTATTACAATTATTTATAAGCATTTTTTATATGAAAGTCTCACAAAATATATAAAGCTACACGACAATTCAAAAATCCACTAAAATCATTAAAATATAAGTTATGATTCATAAAATCTATAAAATCAGATACGGCCTTAAATATAGTAATTAAATGAATCGAATAGATATCTTAAATTGCTTTTGAATGTACACTATTTATCATAAACTATTTCAAATCTAATAATGTAAGAAATATTGTATGAGTTACAAGGGTCAAAATTAAAACAAGTATAAGGGTGAAGAAAAAATTAAACCCATAGAACTAGGGTCATAAATAAAATAAAATAAATTTTGGAGGAGCCTAATTGAAACAACTTTTCATTATAGGGGCCAAAATTAACTTTTCAAAAAATTTGACGGTGACCAGGGTTCTCTTACCCCAAGCCCTAGTGGCGGCTTTAAATTTAAATAAAGTCCTACTTTTTTAGGTAAATATTGATAATGTTATGGTCTCCAATAGTCTCCAAACTTGGAAGTAAGGTTGGACATAAAAAAATAAAACTTGATTTTCAAAACAAATGATGCATTTATTAGAAGAAGAAGAAGAAGAAGAAGAAAGATTAATATACAAAAATATATTACGTAGCCTTCCTTCACATTATAATAAGAATTGTTCGCCACAGCATCGGTCCTTTTGAATCACACTATATAAAGAACATTTATATCTTCTTCTTTTTTATCGATAATAAGAATATTTTTTTTATCAATTTATACATTAATTAAAATTATTTTTTTTGAATAATTTTAAAAATATATTTTTCATATTGACTTGATATATTAATAAAAAATTTAATAAAATTCCCATTGAGATCGTTTATATCAATTTTATGACGATGTGATTAAGTATTACTAAAGCTTTTGAGTTAAGATAATTTTTTAACTTAATATTAAGGTCTTAATGATTAAATAATTATGAGTTCGAATCTCATCCTTTTCATTCTCTTTTCTAATTAAAAGTATAATAGCATAAGATAATATGAGTTTGTGTAAATTTTAAACCCAAAAATGTTTTATTGTGAAAATATATATTAAAAAATAATATAAATCATATCTAAAAATCTCTCAAAACATTTTAATTTTTTGGATTAAAAAGATATTTTGACACTTCCAGTTTATATACAATATAATTAAGACCATGCTTTGAGAGCATGTGGTCATGGTCTAAAATTGTAATCGAAATGTGTTAAACGTCTGCTCGATTTAACAGTTTAATTAATGCATCTTTCTCAAAAAAATGTTAAACATCTTTCTTTAAAATTTTTTTAATTTCTCAAAATTATTACATAATCTGTTTTGAAAAACTCTACAAGTCATGTCAAAAATGCATTTTAAGATTAATACAATAGGATTTATCAAAAGATATTATAAAATTTGCATATGTAAAATCAATTTATTCGATAATTTTACTGGTGTGTGCGTCTTAATTTTTAACTTGTGAATTTTAATAAACCGAATAATTTTTTTTCATTCATAAGAAGACTGGAAATCTTTATTACAGATACAATAATGACACATAGAATCTGATTTCTTGTATATCTATTCTCCATAAAGAGAAGGTACAAGAATTCTAGATTATACTAACATACTAATTAAACGACCCATAAAAGGTTTGATACCCAACAGACTTTATAAAAAAGCCATAAACATAGAACAAAAGCAAATCCATGGATTTAATTTTGCTTGCACACAAATTGTCAACCAAATCCCCATCTCGTCTAGAGATTTTCTTGCTTTGGTGGAAGATCTTGCTCAGCACTCAGAGAGCTTAGCTTGCTTTAACATCTGAAAATTGAAAATAAAATGAAAATGAACATACAATAAAATTTTATGTGTAATTCATAAATTAAAGTAGAAGTGAGATCGAGAGTGAGAGATACCCCAACATAAACAGAAAGTTTTTGCTTGAAAATGGCATGTTCAGCTTTCAGATTTTGGAGAGACGTCTTGGCACTATAACATTTATGCAAAAATAAATTACTATATTTTACATGAAACAATAGCTATGGTGCTTTTTAAACTCGTAAATTAATATAAATCTCACCCTTCCAAATCCCCTTCACCGAAGAATCCTCTGAGTTTGTTGGTTTCATCATTAATTTTGGCAGCACCAATGCTACAAGAAAGTTGTTAAGCTCATGAAATTCCATATATGAAGTTAATATGGCTATCTCCCTCAGCAACATTTTTCCTTACCTAGCACTACTGCCCTTAAGTCGATAAATCATGCCTTCGAGGACAGGATAATCTGCTGGGGTTGTCTCCCTAAGCAAACAACAACAACAACAACAACAAAAACAATAAGATATCACCATAAACATCTGTGTTCAATAATAATATTGAATGTAAAGAAATTAAGAAAAAAATAAAAAAAATAAATGCAAAAATTCAGTTAATTGGTACTCTACTTACAATGCCTTATCGATAGAAGCAATGTATCGAGTTGAATCCCTTAAGAACAAGCTAAACACATTTTCAATGAAGTCAGGATCATCTTCATTTTCAAGAGTCTCAAGAAAGCTCACTTGTCCATAATCCAAAATTCCCTACAATAATCAACAAGTTCAAATGTTAGTGTACTCTTTGTGGTTTGTGCATTTTTTTTTTTAAAGAAAAAAATACATAAATCACTTTGAAATTGTTCTTGATGAGACCACAATTGTTCAAGACCATTTATTTTTTTTTTTGTCACAGTCTACATGGTAACAATCAATAAGAAGAAGAAGACCTCATCAAAGAATGATTGTCTCATGATGCTAAGTTGTTGGCGCAAGGGAGTGCTAGCCATTCTGAGAGTAAAGAGAGAAACAAACTCAAAGTTGGTTGAGTGGAGGCTATTTAGAAGAAAATGGATTGAAAGCTTGTGTAGTACAATTGCAATCCCAATGGGAGTATATATAGGCCGAAATTAAGCAAGAAACTACCATTTGTCACTAGACATGCAATTATTATTGCTTCTAGAATGACAGGTTACACCATTCAAATATGCAATATACAAATTTGTAGTTGGTGGTAATGACTATATACCATAAATGGCTATCATGCAAAACAGCTGAAATTATTATTATTGTTATTATTATTATTATTATTGAGGGAATCCTTGTGCAATTTAACACTAACTACTTTAACTATGTTAAGAGTATATCATAATAAATATATAAAAAAAAATGGAAATTAGAACCACATGATTTATAAATGCTTAAAGGCATATTGTAATGAAACAAAATTTAAGTTAAATCTTATGACAATGTATGTAAAATTCAATGCCTTCTTTTTCCTTTATTTGCACATATTTCACAAAATTTAATACGTTAATTTTGTTTCTTATTATTATTTTTTTAAAGAGAGAACATAATCATCTCACTTTCATGTTATTTTCCACAAATTCAACAAAGGTCCATAGTTTGATAGAAAAAAAACACTATGTATAGTATATATAGCATTATTGGTCTTTTTTTCTTTTTTTAAACTACTTTATTTAGGCGAGACAGTTGACCTAAAGAATCGATACGTTACTAAAAATTGTCCGTTAGCATCCACGACATTAAAGTCTCACTAATTATATAAAGGTACACGACAATTCAAGAATCTATTGAAATCATAAAAATATAAGTTATAGTTTATAAAATCTACGCAATCGGATACGATATTAAATTTACTAATTAAAATAAATCTAAACGAGATATCTCGGAATATAAAACTATAGTAAATAATCGATAGTCTCTTAATAAGTTAAATTAGTTTATAACTAAACAATAATGAAACTAATTATACCAATGGCAATTAGACCATGCAATGAGTTGTTGAATGAATTCAAAAAAATTAACACAAAATAGTTGCTTTGTATATAGTTAAATAGTTAAAATTGAGTTTCATCTAAAAGACTTAACTCTTATTATGGGTGACCCCTTTTCAACTTTATATATTAATCTTTTTTAGTTTAACTATGAATGTGGGATATGTTCTTTAATACTCTCTCATTTACGAGTTCATCTTTTTGGATCTCGTCAATTGGCTTGTGCTATAAGATCTTTGCTAAGCTATTAGACAATTTTTAGGCTTTGATACCATATAGAGTTAGATAGATGAGAATGAGTTCTATTAAAAAGACTTAAGTCTCATGGTGGACATTTGTCTTTTTTTTCAACTTTATATATTACTCATTTTTGGTTTAACTATTCAATATGGGATATGTTTTATAACACTCCCTTTCACTTGCAGTCTATCTTTTGGGATCTTTCATATGCTTTAGGTTCTAGAATTTTTACTGGATCGTTGGGCCTTTTTGAAGCTTAGATACCATATAAAATTAGATAGTTGAAATTGACTCCATCAAAAAGATCGAAGCCTCATGGATGGTCATTTCTTAATTTACATATTACTCATCTTTTGTTTAGCTATTCAATATATGATATGTTATTTAATGCTTCCTCTCACTTGTAATCCATCTTTTAGGATCTATCAAGTGGTCTTTTGGATTAAACTCAATCTTAACTATCTAAATCTATATCAAAACCTACAAAAAGCTCAATAGCCCGAGTAAAGATTATGAAGCTCAAACCACTTGACGGATCCCGAAAGATGAAATGTAAGTGAGTCGAGTGTTGTTAGAATACATATTCCACATTGAATCAATAAGCACAAGATAACTAGCATATAAAGTTGAGAATGAGCCAACCACTACAAAACTTAAGTCTTTTGAATGAAACTTATTCTCAGCTATCTAACTTTATATTTTTTTAACATAACTTGTTCATCATAAATTATTTCAAACGTAGTAATACAAAAACTATTGTATGAGTTATAGGGCCAAGGTTAAAACAATATAAGGATGAAGATAAAATTAAACATATAGAACTAGGGTCATAATTAAATAAAATAAAAATTGGGAGCCTAATTGAAACAACCTTTTATTACGAGGGCCAAAGATTAACTTTCTAAAAATTTTAGGGGACCATAGCTCTCTCACCACAAGCCCTAGTGGCGGCTCTAAGTTTAAATACGGTTATATATTGTTTGGTGAATATTGTTAATGTTAGAGTCAACAAACTTATTTCGAGAACACGAAAACCAAGAATTCATTAGAAATATTGAGATACGAGTTACAATCTATAAAATCTATTAAACAAATATAAACTTAAATTTACTAATCAAAATGAATTTAAACGAATATATAAGAATATAAGAGCGTAATAAATAATCAATTGAATAAATATTATTAACCTTGGCAATTTCATATATTTTTCCACTAATTCAACAAAGGTCAATAGTTTGATGAAAAAGAAGAAGAAAACTAAAGATAGTATATATTACATTATCAATGCCTTTTTTTCTTTTCTTAAACTACTTAAGTGAGATTGATTGACCTAAATAATCTAATACAATACTAAAATTGTCCTAAGCATTCTTAACATTAAAGTCTTTCAAACTTATATATATAGAGACACACTATAAATTAAAAATCTATTAGAACCATAAAAATATAAGTTACTGTTTACAAAATCTACATATTAGTTATGGTCTTAAATTTATTAACCAATATGAAAATGAATAGATACATTCAAATCTAATGGTATAGTAAATTAATAACAAATATCCTCTCAATCAACTAAATTAGATTCTAACTAAACAATAATGCAATTGATTATAATAGTGACATATAGACCATAATCATTCCACTTTTATGTATGTTCCGGCAAATTCAACAAAGGTCAATATTTTGATTGAAAAAAACAAACAAAACAAAAAGTAAGGATAGTATATATTGCATTACTAGTCTTTTTTCTTTTTTCTTTAAAACTACTTTATTTAGTGAGATTGATTGACCTAAAGAATTTGATATGTTACTAAAAATTGTCCGTAAGCATTTCCGATATTATTAAAGTCTCACAAATTATATAAAGGTATATGACAATTCAAAAATCCATTAAAATTATAAAAATATAAGTTACAATTTATAAAATCTACGAAATCGGATATAATATTAAATTTACTAATTAAAATGAATTTGAAAGATATCTTGAAATATAAAACTATAATAAATAATTCATATTCTTTCAATAAGTGTAATTGGTTTATAACTAAACAATAACAAAACTAATTATAACAATAGCAAATAGACCATGCAAGGAATGGTTAAGATGAATTCCAAAAAATTAACACAAAATAGTTGCTTTTTATATAATTAGATAGTTAAAATTGTGTTTTATCCAAAACAAACTTAAGTCTTATTGTAGGTGGCTCTTTCTCAACTTATATATATCTTATTTAGTTTAACTATGAATATGGGATTTGTTGTTTAACACTCTCCATCACATATAATCCATTTTTTAAGATTTTTCAAGTGGTTTAGGCTTGAAGATCTTTACTAGATCATTAGAACTTTATGAGATTCCGATGCCATATAGAGTTATATAGTTTAGATTTGGTTCCATCCAAAATATCACTTGACAATATTTATTATGAATGATTTTACTATTTTTCACTATGCAATGTGTGTAAAAACATTGTTTTTTCGAGTGTACAATTACAATATTTATCCAAAAGTTTGCATTTTGGTCCCTTTTTAAACGTATTTTTTAATTTGATATTTATTTTTTGTTCATTTTGGTCCCTACATACTAAGAAAAGAGAGAAGTGATTTATTTTGATTTGTTTTATGTGTATTAAAATAAGTTTTAAACTCCTAAACAAGTTTGTTTAAGTTATTTCTATAATTTTGAGGTGTTTTGGAATAAAGATAGACCTAAATTTTGTTTTGGGAGGATATAAATTAAGAAATCTGACTTTTCGATGACTTTCATCTAAAAATTGCAGAGGTCGTTGGAATTTTTTTGGTATCTTGGCCTGCGCAAGCTTGGTGCTCGAGTGCACGGGCTAGGTGGCATGTTGTCCTAGTCCTCCAAGCCTTAACGCGCAGGCCTGCACCTTTGTTTTGTTTTGTTTTGTTTTTTTGTTTTGTTTTTTTTTTTAAATTAAGAATTTTTAAGCAAAAATTACCGAACATCAATCCTCATTATTTGTGTTTTTTCACGCAACTTTATGAAAATAAAATATATAATATATTTTTATATTTTAAAATTAACATATATTTTAGATTATATTACTCTTATTATTTAAAATTTATCCTCATATTATTTAACCAACTCAATCTAAAAAATTAAATTGCAATGGTAAAGTTGGTTGGCTAGTCTATAAACTTAGTCTTCTTGCGTGCCCCTGTTAAAATTAATTGGGCCAAGATTTAGGATTTCTGTGATAAAAGTTGCTGGTATTTGATTAAATCCCTGAGCAATGCTGCCTCATGTGATTTTGTAACTACTGTTTTCTCTGTCTTAGATTTTGAAACTTTTGCATGTCGCTTTCTTTTGGCTTTCTATCTATTAAAATTGAAGTGTATAAACAATGATCAATGCCAATTTATTAAGATAGCAAGCATACATAAGAAATTATTGGAATAACATAAATTTATTGGACTAAGCATAGAATCTCTGATCCCTATGATCACCAAGAAGAGAGCGGTGGGATGCTTTGCTCATTTCTAAAGAAATTATCAGGATCAACTGCAGACTTCACTTGTACTAACCTGTCAAAATTATTCTTGAAATATTTCCTGCCCCAAATGCTTGCTTTTTTATAGCTTGTGTTGCCCTGAATATTATTTGTGCCTACGTCAAGATCCCTATAATTGATATATGCTTCTCGAGGATTTTTTGATACATAAGGAGCCATGTAGCTGTAAAGCCTTCTAATCCAGGCTATATGTCTGGTTGATGCTTCCTTGCCTAG